GCACCCCCACTGGGCCGTGGCGCGGCCACGTGGGAACTCGGCCGTGCGGCCTAGGCCGCGGGCCCACAGCCAGCCTCCTCAGGCGGCCGCGGCTTAGGGGGACACTTAGCCCTATTCCGCATTCACCGATGGTCTACTGATAGTTTCGGTAGAATACAGGCTTTTCTGGCAGTGAGAATGAAACTTTTGAAGAGGGGACACCCGCCTAAGTTGGTTCGGATGGTGTTCCTGAGGTTTGCTGGCAAGACGGCTTCACCTGAGGGTTTGATTTTAGCATGGATGATTAAGCCTTAAGTTGGTTTTTTGGGGGTGTTGTTGGAGGCCTTTTGCCAAAACATGCCCCTAACTGGGCTTTTTTCGAAGTATGGACTGAGTGGAGGTGTGCAATAGCTTGTCGTCGGGGGTCGTGACGTTTGGATGGTTCCTGGATGAATTGGCGGCGTTCCTATCAATGCCTGGCGGCGCCGAACCTCATGTACCAGGCCCAGGCCTCATTACACCAGGACCTTGGGGGATGACGGTTTTCGGGAACCGTAAGACTGGCAGCCTATCTCCTCTATTCTGCTATACTACGGTTGATTGTGACAGTGGTGCTCCCTCATTCTGTCGAGCACGTCTGTAGCGTGCGCACCGGCGGGTCCGTTGCTTATGGCGTGAGTAAGAAGTGGGCGCGGTAGCGATGCTCGTTTCTCTATCGGAGTGAGTGGCTGTTTGGAACATGCGTGTAGCGATGCTCGTTTCTCTATCGGAGTGAGTGGCTGTTCGCAACGTGCGTGTGTCCCCTATGGTCGCGATGTGCGCTCTGCTCAAAAGATGAGCTGTATCTGCTCAAAAGATGAGCTGTATCGTTGTTAGTGCTGCTCCTTTCTTCATCACAACGGTTTCCGGGACCTTGATGCTCGACGCCTCGGGACAGAAGGCGCTGTCTAGCCTCGTATCCGTACCGATTGAATTCTCTTTTTTAGGGATGATGGCCCGGTGCCTTGAGTTTTCTGTGTAATTTCATATGGGCCGCTATGCCCGCTTCCCAGCACGTGTTGCTCCCCACAAATAGATTGGAGAGAAAAAAAAAAAAGTCCTGTTTTAGGGGTTCTCACTTGAAGGTGAGTTCTTTTTTCGCTTTTTTTAATAGGGATTCTGCCTCTGCCCGACCCACCCGCCAAAAATAGTTTTTGAATTTGAGCCCACGCCCAACCCACCTGCCACCTGAAACAGAACCCATTCAGACCCTCCGGCATCCTGGAGATGAACATCATTACCGGCCCATACCCAGGACCTAATGATTGAGCATCTTTAACCGTAAGCCTACATTGCCTTTTCGTTACAAATTCATCATCCCCAACTGTATCCTGCCCCATAGTGTGCAAATATAATTTATAACTCGTTTTTAGTTTTTTTAATTTTTTTATTATTAAACAAAACAGCTCTATCTATAACTCGTTTTTGTGACTCTACAGATTTTATTTTTTTTACAAGAAAGCTCATTTCATGATATTTCACACACTGTCAGGACAGCGGTCGTGAGTTGGCCATATCTGTCACTGGACATACCCCAATGCCTGCACCTAAAATGGGTAATGGTCCCAGCAGCAGTTTCTTTTCTTTTTTTTTTTATCCCCCCCCTTTTTTTCCTTTTTTTTTTTAAGAAAAACTTCAATTTTATTAGGGCCCTGTGGGTTGTTTGTGGATGGATTACCAGCCTCCGAATGCTGCGGTTTGGTAATAAAAGTGCCCTTTTTCTTTGTATATATAGTCAAACAGAGCTGCCCGGTAAACGGTAGGCAGAGAGGGAGAAGAGGACAAGAAAACAACCGAGGGGCTGTGACAAACTGTTTCGTCGGAGTTTGACCGACGCATCAATCAGTAGAGGCTGAACCCTCAAAAACAGTGTGCAGAATCCCCTAACTAATTACACTGTAAGTGATAATCCACCTTAACCCCGGTCCGCGGTTGAGGTTAAGCATCAATACCCCTCTGAGGAGGTGGGGACCACCAACCACTGCCCTCAAGGTACCTGTGACGAAAATCAATCAAAGCAGAATATCACTCACCCGCACCAGATGGAAAACTCTACAGACTGTCGCTTCACACCCCATCACAAGCAAGCAAAACACCCACGAAACAAAGCAAGGTCTGTCTATATATATCGTCATATATATATCTATATATTTCACACACCAAGCAGAGGCTGGGAATCCTCAAACAACCACCCGGAGAAAAACTGTTCACTGGGCTCAACGGCCAGATTAGGTGTAGGTGTCCGGCCTCAGATCGTTTTCTATAATCAATGGAATTGAATTCGTTTTGAAAGGAAAAGAAACAAAAAAAAAAAGAAAAAAAAAAAGAAAGATCGTTTTCTGTAAAAGTTTTCTGTGATCGCTTTCTTCCTAGTTTTTCATTTATTTATTTTGAGCCAGACAAAAGCAGTTCATTCACTTGCAAAAAGTACCAACGGGGGCGGGCACACTCACCTAATCACTTTCGTAAATGAATCCGATCGTAATTACAGCCGAGCTTGCATGCATCTGACCACAATCACGTCCAAAGCAGTTGAAAAAGTCCGTTTTTTTTTTTTTTTGTTTTGTTTTCAAGTTAAGGAACAGCCTGCTGAAAGGGTGCTACAGATTGGGGTCCTGATAGGAGTAGGCACCACAAGCACTGCCGGGGAGGCTCCATCTATTGGTGGGGATCAGCACCCTTCGAAAAAGTCCTAAGTGTAAGTATGCCGTCCTAAGTGTAAGTATGCCCTAATGAGAGTGTCCCAACGGGAAACAAAAAAGAAAAAAAAAAGGCAAAGAAACAAGTGCGACTCATCCGACGCTTCATCCAATTGAGCCGGTTTTTTTTTTTTTTTTTTTTTTTTTTTAGCAAAACACAGCACTGACTGCATAATAGCCGGAACAGAACGACACAAAGACACAAAAAACGTCATCCTTAACAAACGATTACCAAAAAGAAGAAGTCATTCCAAGATTCCCTCTTTTTTTTTTTTTTTTTTTCATACCGTGGTTCATTTTACTTTTTCCGGTTTCTCCACATAAAAAAAAAAACAAAAAAAAAAAAACAAAAAAAACCCAGAGGCTCTGCTTAATTCCGAGTGTCATCCCATCACTCGCGATCCTCAACGTGAATTATATTTATCTACTTTTTTTTTCCACAATAACGGTCTTTTGTTTTTAAGCAAGAAATTAAAGAAGAAATTTCAACGGACCCAGTGCCCAAGGCAATACATTAATAACGTTATCAACTACCGCAAGGGA